TAGTATGTAGGAACTTGACATTTGGAACATAACGTAACATTTTGAATATTGATTACTTATTAAAAAAAAATTGAGTTGGGCGTGGCACTTCCGGGTTTAATTACTCATTATTGACATTTTTGGCCAGGGGCATAACTCGCAAAGTATCCATTTGTTCAAAATGGAACTTTGCATACAATTACCCCATATTGTGAGCCACTTTGTCTTAGAATTTCGGTTGTTTCCGCTTCTTAGTTCAAAAAAAGGAACAGGTTTTGGAAATTGAAAATTTTCAATTTTTGACCTTGACCTTTGTTGACCTTGACCTTTCTAACATCAAACGTCATTGGCATTGGCTATCTATTTATACTTTTATATTTGCCGTCCTATGTCAACTTCCGGTTTTATAGTCGTGTGCAATTAGAAATTTTGATGACGTATATCTCTTGATCTTGACCTTTTTAGACTTTCTCTTTTACAAGATCAAAGGTCATTGACTTTGGCTATCTGCTGATACTTTCATTTGTGAGGTCTGACGTCTACTTCCGGTATTAGAATCTTCTAAAAAATGAAAATTTCTCAACTTTAGACTGTTCTTGCGCTTGATCTAATTATCGTGGAAGGATGATTTTTTCGGGGTCTTTTGCAATTTGCTACATTTGCAAAGTCCCACTCTGTGCCACGAGTGGCTCTAGTTGATTTTGGTGTCAAATACTATGAAGCTGTTTTTCGATTCTCGATTTTGCTTTTTTGCATCTTCCGGTTGAATTTTTCCAAAGTTTGAAGGGTCATATCTCGTGATCTTGACCTTTGATGACCTTGACCTTTATAAGGTCAAAGGTAATTGACATTGGCTATCATTTGATATTTTGACCTCCGACATGTACTTCCGGTTTTATAGCTGTCCGAAAAAAGTCAAATTCGGAACTTTGGACTGTTCTAGCACGTGACCTAATTAACCTAGAGGGTTAATTTTTTCGGTTTCCTAATGGGCTTCTCATGCACTTTACATAGATATATAACAATCGTTATTTTAAAGCAAAATTGAAATTCGTGATTTTTTCAATTTTTTCTTTACAATATTTGTGTCTCTTTGAGCTTGGTGTATGTATATCTTAAGACCTATTTGATGTAGAACCTTGAAATTTGAAATACAACTAGACACTTTGAATATGAATTCACCTATGACAAAAAAATGATGTGAACGTGGCACATCCGGGTTGAATTACGAATTGTTAACATTTAGGGACAGGGGCATAACTCGCATAGGATACGTTTGTATAAAAAGGGACTTTGCACACAATTACCACATCCTTTTGGCCAGTTTGAGTTAACAGCTCAGTTGTTTTAGCTTTAACGGAACGGGTTTTAGAATTTCCATATTTTCAATTTTCGATTTTGACCTTTGATGATTTTTATTGACCTATATCTTTTGACCTGTATGATGTAGAAGCTTTAAATTTGGAAGACAACATAACATTTTGAATATCAATTTACTTATGTCAAAAAAAAGAGGTAATTTACTCATTATTGACATTTTTGGCCAGAGGCATAACTCGCATAGGATACATTTGTTCAAAATGGAACTTTGCATACAATTACCTCATGTTTTGAGCCACTTTGTCTTAGATGTTCGGTTGATTCAGCTTCATAGTTAAAAAAAAGGAACAGGTTTTGGAAATTCACTATTTCCAATTTTTGACCTTGACTTTTGTTGACCTTGACTTTTGTAGGATCAAACGTCATTGGCACTGGCTATCTATTTATACTTTTATATTTGCTGTCTTAAGTCAATTTCCGGCTTTATAGACGTATGCGTTTGAAATTTTGATGACTTATATATCGTGATCTTGACCTTTTTAGACCTGCTCCTTTACGAGATCAAAGGTCATTGACCTTGGCTATCTACTGATACTTGCATTTGTGAGGTCTGGCGTCTACTTCCGGTATTAGAATCTTCTAAAAAATGAAAATTTCCCAACTTTAGACTGTTCTTGCACTTGACCTAGTTATCGTCGAAGGTTGAATTTTTCAGGGTCTTTAGCAAATTGCTACTTTTGCAAAGTCCCACGTTTGGCTCTAGTATATATATTTAATTTCACTTTTAAAAAGTTTCTTATTGCCTTCATAATATGTTTCCTAATTTCCTAGAGATAAAAATCTCCATAATATAATAATTTCCGTGCCTGCAAGAAAGAAACGTTTATTTGCAATTTCTCTAGAACAAAATCCGGTATGCACCAATTTCAGTACGTAATTCAATTGTGAACAGAGATTTGCTTAGTAATTAGTTTTTATTCACCATTTCAGAGGTTGCACCAAACAACTTTTTGATTGTGACTGATTCTCAAGAGAAAGCTATAATTAGATTGGATTTATCCAGTAGAGGTTACCTGACTCTACCTATAACCAACCATAACAATCCAATTGCTATAGATTTTGACTCGAAAGACTCAAGAATATACTGGACTGATGTATTGTCAAAACAAATACGCAGGGCTTCTCTGGCTGGTGATTCAGAGACACTGATAAGACAGTTGAATAACGGTATATTTTGTATACACTTATGTGTATTTTTGTGGGGAAATAAAATAAAGTGAATGGAGTTTTACGTCCTACGTTTCTGCACCACGTGGGCTAATAAAGACGGGCAACGCCATACAGGGTGCAATGAGGGAAATTTTGCCTGGGCATTAGCCTGCTGTTTTTCGATTTCCAACTGTCGAGGGATCTTTAACGTGCATAGCCTGTAGCACACGGAACGACTAGACGATTTTTCCATGTCAGCCCCTCTTACGTGCATCACTGACAGGGGGAAACCGTGTTGAAAAACTCTGGACCTTCAAGTAAGCAAGAAAGCGTCACCTATTTTTGTGGGGAAACAATGATTAAAATAATGTACGGAATACATAATAATAGTTAATATAGTATCCAGTCGGGAATATAATAACAGTTAATATATTATCCAGGTCGGGAATACAATAATAGTTAATATAGTATCCAGGTCGGGAATACAACAATAGTTAATATAGTATCCAGGTCGGGAATACAATAATAGTTAATATAGTATCCAGGTCGGGAATACAATAATAGTTAATATTGTATCCAGGTCGGGAATACAATAGAAGTTAATATAGTATCCAGGTCGGGAATATTATAGTTAATATAGTATCCAGGTCGGGAATACAATAATAGTTAATATAGTATCCAGGTCGGGAATACAATAGAAGTTAATATAGTATCCAGGTCGGGAATATTATAGTTAATATAGTATCCAGGTCGGGAATACAATAATAGTGAATATAGTATCCAGGTCGGGAATATTATAGTTAATATGGTATCCAGGTCGGGAATATTATAGTTAATATAGTATCCAGGTCGGGAATACAATAATAGTTAAAACAG